TTATATCATCTTTCTTTATGAAGTTTATATTCTTATTATTATCGTTGTTTCGATGCAACAGATGAGTACCGCATTTTGCAAAGGCAATGTTTATAGTTGTTTTCCACTTCCTAGTTTTAACTTATGACCTGTTAATTTTTTTTCATTAATGAATAAGCAAAGATAAATAATAAAGAATATTTATTTGTGAAACGTTTTATTTGTCATCTTTTCTCATAGTAACGTACTTTTATTTTACAGCTTTGGATGAAGGCGATATAGCGATTCTGAAGTCTTACGTAAAGATAGAATATACCGTACTATCATTGATAATATGAACAACTTTTAGGGCCAAGGACCTTATCACCTGCAGATCAAGAAGACTGAAGATGATATTCAAAAATGTTTGAAACTTGTCAACGAACTTACCGGTAACATTTTTCCTTGCTCTGTTGTCATAATACGATGCTTTGCATGCCGTAGGAATCAAAGAATCTGACACGGGCTTAGCCCCAGCTGCGCTCTGGGACTTGGCAGCGGACAAGCAGACTTTGCAACAGGAACAGCCGTTACAGGTTGCCCGCTGCACCAAGATCATACAGTGTGAAAATGAAGAGCCTCGCTACATCATCAATGTCAAGCAGTTCGCGAAGTTCGTCGTTGATTTGGCTGATCAGGTGGCTCCGACGGACATTGAGGAAGGAATGCGAGTCGGGTAAAAGCGCATACAACATATTACACGCGACCATTGCTCATATGATCAGCTGATTTAGGGTAGATCGTAACAAGTACCAGATACATTTGCCATTGCCACCGAAGATCGATGCCTCCGTCACCATGATGCAGGTAGGTGATTTACCTGCGGATATTGATCATAAGTCAAGAGTATTATTTCTATACGAATCGGCAAAAAATTTTTGCCGGATATGGTTTTCGTTTTGAAAATCATCGATTGATATTAGGCAGTTTTGGTGACGGCACCTTGACTTATAGAACTCTGCAGACAGTTGTGACATCTCCACAATTCATGCTATTTTCAGCTGCTTCCTGTTATTTGTCATTTCATATCTGTCGTTTATAGTGACATTTTAGGTCAAGATTTGTTTGTAGCGTTGTAAATCACAATCAC